TGCTATCGTATTGATGAGGTGATATTTATGTTATTTGCAGGGAGTGTGAGAAATGAGAAGGTCGATGTGGAATTTATGGTTGCTTCACTTGGCATTAACAAAGTGACACCGACTTTTAAAGTAGCCGAGGTCCTTGATTTCGAACGTTAGATTGAAAGGTTGGTTAATAATGTCTTTGGAATTTCTAATGATCTGAAAATGGTAGTATTTGCCCTCTTTTTCAGTTCTTCACTTAAGAATTACTGCTATGGGACTGATTTTCACTACTTTTTCTTGTCTGATGTCTCCAATTTGAGGGTTACCTAAATATTGATTATTAGCCCTTTGCATCTTTCACCTAGTATAACTTAGTGTTCATTTAATAGAATATATCTTGCTCTTTTATGATCTTTTAACTGGTTTAGGGTTTAAGTTGACTGTTTACATGGACTTTGATCATGTGTGTAGGGAGTACAAAATTGACGCAAACACAGGATGGAATTTAAGTCACCTTATAAGTCAAAATTGTGGGTTTTTATGATCTTCGATGCCTAGAGTCAATCTTGGTCAATTTCAGACACATTGAAAGTAATGGCTTGCATCTTAGTAATATATGCTCTGTGGCTATACGTGATTGAAGATTGCGGAAATCAACTAGACAACCAACTAAGATATAGTTTTGGCTAGCTGTGTTGTTGTTGCTGCTTCTGTGATTTATGTATTCAATAGTTTGTTTATTATTGATAATGTGGTTTCTTTCACCAAGTAGAGAATGTATGTTGTCCCATTGCCGTTTACTTTAGAAGTGAGAAATGATTCCTTTTCTTCTAATGCTGGTTATGGTCTAATTTCATTCAATGATATCCTTTCTTTTGTGGGAATAATGGAGTTTTCTTTAGAGTAATGTCCATTTTGACTTCTATGCTAGATTGTACTCATTATATTGTGAAATGATATTCATTTTTTTAACTTAAATGCCTCAACCCTTGTCACATTGGTTCTTGCATGTGCATCATATTATGCCAATTGTTTGTTCTCTTTCTTAGCATTCTTTTATGTTTTCTTTTTCTCTAGAATCTGAGAAGCATCATATCAATGATGGCAACTTTAGAATTGATTTTTCAAGCATTTTTTCTTGCAGGTTGTCTGTCTCTAATTGAGATATCATACTTGGTGCCATGGGTGTCTCAGGAAAATGGATCAAAGCACTAGTTGGCTTGAAGAAATCTGAAAAGTCACAATCTTCAGAGAAGGAAGAAAACGTCAGTATCAATAATGCTAGTTTTTTACGTTTTTCCCTTCTGGAGGTTTAGATTTGGGTATGTGTGTGTGTCATGTGTGTTTCTCCAAAATGCTGAAGTGATGGCCTATTATCACTATCTTCATATCATGTGCACTCTAAGCAAGATGTTTATGTGGTGAGGTAATGCCTTTTTATCTGGACTTGGGGCATAGATGACTAATCTGGTATGAAGGAGAGGGAGTATTATGCATTAACTTACATGCAATTCCTATCCTTGTTAGCCAAAATCAAGATATGATTTCTACTCTCTTCATCCATATTAGTTGATTATGCTATATGTCATTGTCAGAATAATTGTATAGTTGCAATGGTTGTCCTTGATGTTGCTTATTTTCATTTAACAAGTCTTATTCTGTCTTGTGTGCTTACAGAAAGCAAACATGAGTTGATAGCTGGCTCGCAGCAGGACTTTTTCCTTAAAACCTTACTACGAAGCATTGTAGTTTTATTTATAGTGATTGAAAGTTGGGTTCTTTTTGACTTTGCTTGTATAATTTCAATATCAAAGGTCCATCATTAGAAAAATAAAAAGTTTAGCAACAGTTGAGAAAAATTTTCCCTGGCCATTGAATAATGGAGTTCCTATTTGCAATTCGTTGTCGTCAAAATGGCAATTCTGTTTATGTCCATGGTTGTGAAGTCCTTGACACGTGTTTTTGGAATATCCTTTCTGTTTTGTTTGAACTTTTACTGTTTTTTTTCTTTGGGCGCATTAATAAGTTAGTAAGCTTAAATGAGATTGACTTCCAAATCAGAACATCATTTAAGCACATTTTAAGTTAAATATTTTGGTCTTCGGTTGTGACAGGGGGCAGCTGCTAGCAAATTTCGTCAGCGAAGAAATCATTCTGTTGAGTTTGACACAGATAAATTTCAAGAAGAGTTGGACCAGAATGCTGCTTCACCAGCCAGAGATGCTAATACTCATGCAACCGCAGATGCGTCTGGCTCCCCCTCTGGTTCACTTGAAGTGCATGATACATCTCTTAATGAACATGCAAGGGAAGAATGGGCTGCCACAAGGATACAAACAGCTTTCCGAGGATTTCTGGTAATGATTCTACATTTTTAGCCATTCCAAATGAGAATATGAAAGACTCTTTCTGTCCCAAGTTGTTTGGGATGGTTTGACTTTCATAAAGTTTGAGGCAATAGTTGTAGTTTCGGATTAACCTTCCTTATCTTGAAAAAGACTTGACCTGTTTCTAGGAATAAGTCAAAAGAATGTCTTTGAAAAGTTGAAGATATTTAGTATTTTATTTTGATAAATGGATAACTAGGGACTTCACGAAAAGAAATAATGTACGAAAAAAAATGGGTTCGACAGAGTAGCTTTTTGAGGATCAGCAGACACATGCATGTTAACAAACACTCATTTTTACATTTCTATTATGCATGTTGTATGTATATGTTTGTGTCATGTGTTTTGTCTATGCTTGTATGTATAAGGTGGTAAGGTATGTCTTAATCACTGATGCTTAGTCTAATGTATTTCATGTCATAGGTCTTCATATTTTTTATCAAATCATAAACTGAAGATACAGTTTGAAAGACTATTAATTTTTTTTTAAAATTGAACTTATCTGCATTACTTCCAAGTGCATAGGATACAAGTTAATTCCTAACAGGGGAGGCCTAGCTCGAATTGATGTTTTCTGCATCTGAACTATAATTAAATAAGTAAATTAACTTTGTAACTCTCCTCTCTGATGGAATTGGAATATATTTTAATTAAACATCAGGCTAGAAGAGCACTGCGAGCATTAAAAGGATTGGTAAGATTGCAGGCCCTTGTCAGGGGTCATGCTGTAAGAAAACAAGCTGCAATTACTCTTCGCTGCATGCAAGCTTTGGTGAGAGTTCAGGCTCGTGTAAGAGCAAGGCGTGTTCGACTGGCATTAGAAAGTCAAACTGCCCAACAGAAACTTCAGCAACAACTTGCAAATGAGGCTCGTGTTAAAGAAATAGAGGTGAGAAACATTAATTTCTTTAATTCATATAAATTGACACAAATATACAGGCACACCACATACACGTCAAATACAGGTGAGGTCACGCATGCATACAGGCATGCTTGTTGTTTGTGTGTGTTTGTATTTCTTTCCTCGTACATGGACTTAGTTGGCGTCATAGGTATGTATTTGCCTTTATTTTAAGATTGAAATATTAGGATTGTGATGTGGCATTGTATTCTTCCATGGTGTAAAGCTGGTGAATTCCTTTAATCACATGAGTCAGATCTCCTTTGGAATGTAATTGACTACAGACAATAATCTGCTACTTCTAAATCATCTTAAAAGTGATGATAAAAATTTCAAAGCAGGGGTGCTAGATGTAGTTACTTAGTTGAGACTTTAGAATGAGGCTGGTGATGATGCAGCTATTGGACCATCCTAATGGTGGTGTGTAGATTTAGATGCGTGTGGAATTCAAATCAGGAAATGCATAAGGTATCACCTAAGTTGCAAAATCTGTTTGGAGGGTGCTGAGGTTTCTTGAGAGAGAATTTTACACAGGATGGAAATGTTTCAAGAATTCTTAGTGGAATAAGATTTATATGATGGACGGATAGTGGGCGGAATATTCCTCCAAACACTTTCCTTTTTGGGTAATGGCACCAGGGAAGTGGCTATATCTCCAATATGGCTAGAGCAAAAAACATAGTTTTATCCATGTAGTTATATCCACAATCTGGAGATCCTTAGATTAGTGGATTTTATTATACTCGCCCACTTACTTGGTTTTTGTGATGCTAAGGCAAACTGATTGAGAGCGGTGATGTGGGTGGAACCAGTTATTTATAGGTGGAACTCTGTTTTATTTGCTTTTCTAGATGTAGGTCATTTATATCTCCCTTGTTAAGTGGTGTTATGTCTCACATCAGATAAGTTCGTTATGGTGGCCATATACTCCAAATTGGTTTTTAGGTTGGGTGCTTTAACATCTGTCTGTGTTGAGTTTCACCGCCATAGCATGCTTTGCCTGTGGGAGGTGTTGCTTGCTGCTAACATGACTTAACACCTGTCAGCCACTAGATTTACTCCTCTTTTACTATTCCATGCAACAGAATATTTGCGAACATGTTATGCACACAAATTGGTAATCCTTGCTGGATAGTGTTAATTGTTTGTTGATAACTTTTTCTTAACTGAATTACATCATATTTTAAGTAACACTAATGATCATAGAAATTTGAATCTGGTTATCTGTACTTTTCATATATTTGAATCATAGATGTTGGTAGGTTTGCTGAGTGCTTCATATGACTTCTGACTAAATGCAGGAAGGGTGGTGCGATAGTAGAGGATCTGTTGAAGAAATTCAAGCCAAGTTACTCAAGAGGCAGGAGGCTGCAGCCAAACGTGAAAGAGCCATGGCATATGCTCTGGCTCATCAGGTAAGAAATCATACCACTATCGTAATTTATAAAGCGGCAAATTTATAGTTCAATGAAGTTTTTGTTATTTTTTGGAATGAATGTCAAAACAATGCTCAGATTAGGTGAGAGAGGGAGAGAGAGATTTCAATGTCATAATGCATTTTGATTAATGTGAATTTTACCATAGAAGTTGACTTAGAAATGGTAAAAGGGATAGCTATAACATGCTCAAGCATGCTTTAATGAGTTGGAGATTGTAGCTTTTGGATACTGACACCGTCTAGCTGAGAACTCTTGATTTTCTTTCCTACTTTTGAAGTGACTTCCTTCCACCATTTCAAAAATTGACAATCAAAACATCTCCGTGTTCAAATTTTTGCTGTTTCCTATTACAACTATATATCTGTGGTTTTTTTATTCTAAAATATCATGTCATTTTCATTCTTTGATTATGTGTATTTATCATTTATTCAATAACTCATCCTAGGAATAGGTGTCCCAGGAATGATAAGGAAAGCGAGCTCAATGTAAATACTGTTTTGTTGATAAAAAGAGAACATATAGAAAGAGAAAAAGAAAAGGTTAGGATACTTAGGCTATCATTGTTTGCTGATTTTGCTATTTCGGTTTTGTTGTTTACTTTTGGCATCCTCAAAAGTTGCTATAAAATAAAAGCAAACAATAAAAAGGAAAACTATATTTGATTCAATATGAGCAAATGGCTAAAAATGCTACCAGCAATTTAAACTGATTCCATATTGAAATAAAATCATGCATTTTGTTATTTTTGAATGTTAAAATTTAAATTTTTAGTTCATTGAATATTGTTTTATTCTTCCCTCTTGATAAGCACGTTTGGATCTTGTCCACCAGTTCCATGAAACATTGAAAAACTGTACTAATACTCATTTCTTTGCATCATTTTAGTTCTTGCATTCTTCTGGGGTTTCTGTTTTCTTTATGTGCTGGAGGGCTGAATATCTTCTGCTGTCTGTTTTATTGGTAAATTTGGTTAGCTGGTCAATGTCTCTCTCTCAGAGCCCTTGTTAGTGGCATCAACCTCCTGTGAGGGTTGGTGTTGGATGCCAAAATCTTGCAATAAAACTGCTGAATTGGTGCTAATAACCTGACTCTGGGGTTGCCTGATTGTATTGTTGCCTTAGAGTCATTTTAATTACTGGTCTCATTTGAGCTAGGGTTGTGTTAAAGAGTTAATATCTGTTCATGCAGTGGCAAGCAGGATCAAGACAGCCGTCCGTGCCTGCTGGGTTTGAACCAGATAAAAGCAGCTGGGGTTGGAACTGGTTGGAGAGATGGATGGCTGTACGTCCATGGGAGAATCGTTTTCTTGACATTAATCTTCGAGATGGAGTAATGATACGCGAGGATGGTTCTGCAGAGGGAAAGAATGGTGTCAATTCTCAGATAAAGCCTGCTATCAAGAAACCAGCTGCGTTGAATCTTCATGCTAACCTATCAAGTCAAAAAACAGGTCCATCATATTCCAATGGGAGTGATTCTCCATCTGGTAAGTCAGCAAGTGTGCTAGAAGCGGTCAATGCATTGTCTTCCAAGCCAAAATCCAAACCAAATCTTGAAGATTTGGGTGAAGAAGCTGGCTCAAGACCTGTTATTAGTTCAAGATCTCACAGCAATCCTAAAGAGAGGGCCACACAATCAGATAAACAGGCAAAGAAGCGGTTGTCTCTGCCTAACAGTGGTAAGTTCTCTCTCTGTTTGTCCAAAATTATATAGGTATTTATCACGTGGATGCTAACCTTTCTCTTGAGGAATATGGTGGATTGGAAACTGGCTAATGCTAGTCGGTTGCCTATGAAATACACATTAAGTTTCAGGCATCTGATCCCAGTACATTAACATTAACGTATCTGGTTTAAGCTGGTTGTTGTCAAAAGAATTGCATGATGTAAGGTTGCTCTGACATAGTATTCCCCGAAGCTCAATGGACATCTCTGTTCTTCAGTCTTGTATGTATACTGCTAGTGTTAGGTCGACCAGTTTAGATAATGCACAGTGAAAGTGTGCCCTTTGCATTTAGAATTGCTAATTGTTTGTTTCAATGGTTTGATTTGAGCAGGAGTGAGTGGGTCTCAAACAAAGCCTGGCAGAAGTGGTGCAAAAGTGACACAAGGCTCTCACAAGCAGATGAAGGAAAGGTCCAAGTTTAATGGACGAGGGAACCCAAATCCTACAAAAGCTGTGGCACAGGCTGTTGAGCTGTAAGGAAGTATTTGATTGAAGACAAGCCCTGTTGGGGCTCCAGTGTTTTAGTGTGTATGTATATATGGAATTACAGCGCCAAGATGCAACAGCATTGTTTATTATCCTGTCATGGAATTGAGGAGTGGGTAAGCCGTGGTGGGAGTAGTTTGCGCTCCATGGCAAAGTCGAGGAGATTGATTTGACTTGTCAGGGGAATAAGATGCGTAGAGATTTCATGTGTCGATGGTGTAATCAGCTGTAATTAAGGTTGTCAATTATGTGATGACATTGTATTTATTTCCAGAGAAGATGCCCTTTGTTTTGCTGTCCCCCACTTGGTCCTGTCGTTGTTGAGTAAAAATTTCTTGCTTTGTGCGTGTGACGAGGGAAAGGCGCGAAATGGTGGCAACGTGGTTCAATTATGGTCCTTTTGTTTTGCTTTGGATCAAACTTGGTCAACATACAAATCAGCAAAGCAAATCTCTTATTAATTACCTTTTGCCAGTAGCCAAATATCCAAAACATTTCATACTTGGTTAACAAATGTTGGAGGATTGAATCCCTCCTTAGTAAAAGTAATGAGAGTTGGATTGTGCTGACAAATTCAACAAATAAGACACTTTACTCGAATAATCTTCTATTCAGGTTGCAGTTCTGTGCTTTCTCTTAAAGGCATTGTTTGTCAGATGATTTGGTCCACTTGACTCTCACCGAACCATTTGTTAATCCATGCAACGTAACATATACAATCCAACTCACTCATTAGGATATATGTATATGTATACATTAATCTTATTGTATCCTACTTTTTAACAGCACTTGTTTAGTTAGAGCGGATATATTCATGGTCAAATATTAGCCACGTGTTTTTATAATAATACTGAGATTATGACATAATTATTATCCAATTTTAAGACTAAGTTATGATTAAAATTTTATTAAAAATACTTGAGCCATGGAACTACCATCATTTCATCTCATATCCAAAAGTGTAACTACGGTTTACCATATATGAACAAGAACAGAAAAAGAAAAAAGGGTTTTCCCTTGGATTCCTATATATTCTAACTATCTAACCTGGTCACCTTATTCTAAATTAGAATGTAAAGTTGATTGCATGGAGTAATTTTCAATGCGAGGATGAGAGTAGGGAGAATGTGATAAAATATTATTTATTTCATTTATATGTATGTATTATAGACAAAAAGAAGAGAGGAGGACAAAAGTTTAGGGCACAACGAGATGGCGACATTCTATTCTAGACATTGAACAATGCAAGGCAAGGTGTTACCCCAATGCTGCTAACAGGACCAACATTTTAATTGGGCTATCCAAGGACACATCCACCACTCCCCCACTTTTGGATTCAAATTAAGTCCATCATTTCACTGTGATCTTGTCAAGTATATAAATTTTACTTCATTAAATAACAAAAAAAAATTGTCTTCAAATATTTAACTTCATGCCCTATTCAAAAATTCATCACTCAAATTTTGAGTTACAATCTTAATTTCACAAATTAAGAAAAATTATAAAGATAAACTCCAAATAAATAAACTAAAATCTGAATAATTATTAATAACCATATCATAATATCTCTTTTTTCTTATTTAAAGTGAGCTGTGTAAATCACATACAATATTATACTCCAACATAAAGAAATGTATTTTTTAACGATCCTATATAGTAAGCATGCAAATTTTCTTTTTTAATTTTATCAATATTTGAAATAAATTATGAATTAGACGTAACAAGTATCCTCTTATAATTAACATGCCATGTATAAACTATGATACCATAAATCAAGAAAATCATATAAACAAAAAACAACCACTTCTTTTAATAATTATTAATAAAATGACTATGAATATGCCTCTTTACAGGTAACTATTCTCCACATATATTGGTCTATTGGACAGAATAAACTTATCTTTGCAATCAACCCATCGTACCTCATTGTTTTCCAAGATAATAATTTTAAAAATTACAGTAACAAAGTTTTATTTTGTTGCTACCGATGCATTTTTCATTTCTTTTTGAACAAGTAACATTCTTTCTTGAAAATATTTTATTTTTTAAAATCGAAACGTGTACAATTTTATTTTTCGAAATCGAAGGTATAGTCATTAAATTCATTCTTCTTTGAGGATACAAAGGATTATTCTTCTTTCATCTCATGAACATTTGACACATGAATCTTTTATTGTTTCTCATGTTCTTTGTGATATTGTTTTTCAATTCGAAGATGACTTGTAAGTTTTTCTCGAGAACGTAGTTAATTAATTTTTATTAAAAGTGGTCGATAAAAAAAGTAAAAAATATATAAAAATATATAATATATACAAAATTTTAAAAATTTTGGAAAGCCACAATCCCCATAAATACATAAAGCTCTGCCCCTAATTCTTCCAAAGACAAATCTTCTCTTTAAGTTTTGAGATTCCCATGATAATGGTAATTCATCCATATTCAAGGATATAATAATAGATCCATGCACATTCAATTTATAAAATTTGAAATTATCAACAATTTTTTTCTATTTTGACAAGTTTATTATCAACCATCTTATACTTAATAGACACATAATTGTAACTACATAACTCTATTAAATATGCCACAACAAAGAAGTCATGTAATTCATATAAAGAAATTCGAGAAGGGAAAGAAATTTTAATTGGTAAGTCGGTAGGAAAAACTTATTTTTTTCAACATCAAATCGATTGAATTTTGTAAAGTCAAAAGCCAATTCCTTAACGTTTCACTTGCAATAGTCATTATTAAATTAAAATAAAACCTTAAGATTGTTAAATCCAAAAATATTAAGGAAATACTTTAAGGCACATCAATGTCATTTTTTTTGAAATTTTGAGAATTGGGTGCAATAAATCTCGAGAATACAATATGATAAAATCGTGAAACTCCTATATAGTTTTTTTTATAACAAAACAATATAAAAGCAATCTAAAAAATATTTGAAGGTAGAGATAGTAATTGTAAATGATTTTATTTTTGAATTTTTTCAAAAAATTAGAATCCTGTTTGTACAAATATGACCTTTTTGAACAAATATAATAATTTGAATAAATCTGACTATTAAAGAAACATATTTTTCTCAAGGTTTGAAAGTGTCCAACAAGATCAAACTGTTTTCTTTCCATTTTTTTTGCTTCTTTTTCCACGGCCAATCATAAAAAAATGTGCTTGAATTGACAATGCTATCTAATTTTCCTCCCGTTGGACGTATAAAAAGCATGTTTATTGAAATTAAAATAATGGCATTATAATACAATTAATATTGAGAAGTGGATGCCTACTGCCAGTGCACCAACCAAGTGAACTTCTTCTTCTTCTACATACCATTTGTGCTTGTTCTTTTTTACTTGCCCTTCAACTAATTTATGGCTCAATAAAGATAGAGCTAAAATATGAATGTTGGATAAATCATTAAATTGGCATTTCCCCTTTTTTCATTTTTTTCTTTTAAATAGCGAAAGATAATACCTAAAAAGAAATGTATAGCGATGTTCCCGGGAAATCTTAGCTGTAGTGTGGTGCAGCCTGTAACGCAAGGTCAAACCGGTTTAGTCATTCTTCGCTGGTATGATCCCCTAAATACCCATAAAACGCCACCACAATTACATTTTCATCCTTTTACCTGGAATTCCCCCGTCTTCACCACTCCCGATCTGCCCCCTCCCCCCAACCAGACCACCCTTCTCTATTTCTCTCTCTGTGTCAGTCCGCTCCAAAAAGGGGAAAAACAATATCTTGGGGAGTTTTGAAGCCTGAACAGAATCTATACCAAAAATTGCGTCAAACCCTAAACAAAATTTCTTTGGGAGTGTTCTTTAATCCCCAAATTAAACCCATGATGATACCCCAAGCCCGGAATTCCTGAAAACAAGTAGAAAGCGAAGGACAAGAGGAATAGCCTTGCCTCTCTCCATCAAGGATTGAAAATTGCTTACATCATTTCCACTATAGCGTCTTCAAAGCTGCAGCCTTTCAACATTTCATCCTCCTCTCCCGTCTTTTAACGATTCCACTCTCACTCCAGAGTTCATTAGGCCCGCCTTTCCTCCCAATTCCTCCGTCTCCTCCCCTCTTTTTTCGCCATCCCTTCTTCAATGTTCTCACCCCTTTCATTCTCTCCTTTTCTCTCCTCCTTTCTCTCCTATCTTTTCTTCCTCGTAGCCCGACTCTCCATCCCCGCCCTCTTCCCCCCATCTCCATCCCTGACGAACTTGACGACCTCCGTCTCTTCCACCGCGCCACTCTCCTTCCTCCGCCTCCTCCCACCTCTCTCTCCTCCTCCCCCAAAATCGCTTTTCCTGTTTTTAACCACACCGACCTCCATTTCGCCCCTCTTTGGAACCGTTTCTTCCGAGCCTCAAAAACTTCCCATTACAACATCTACGTCCACGCTGACCCCACCGTCAACATAACTCGCCCCAGCGACACCGTTTTCTATGACCGTTTCATCCCAAACGCCAAGCGCACTTTCCGCGCTTCCGCAACGCTAATCTCCGCCACCCGCCGCCTCCTCGCCACCGCCATCCTCGACGATCCTGCCAATGCTTACTTCGCCGTCCTCTCCCAATACTGCATCCCTCTCCATTCTTTCAATTACATCTACCGCTCCCTCTTCACCTCCAAAAACTTCGATCTCAGCCCCAACTCGTCCGACTTGACTCAGTACGGTGTCCGAGTCAAGTACAAATCGTTCATCGAGATCATTTCCAAGGAACCCAGACTGTGGAAACGCTACGTAGCGCGTGGCCGTTTCGTGATGATGCCGGAGGTGCCTTTCGAGGAGTTCCGAGCTGGATCGCAGTTCTTTGTGTTGACTCGGAAACACGCGTTGTTGGTCGTAAAAGATCGGACGCTTTGGAGGAAATTTAAGTTGCCGTGTTATCGAGCCGACGAGTGTTACCCGGAGGAGCATTATTTCCCAACTTTGTTATCAATGCAAGATCCGAATGGGGTGACTCAGTATACTTTGACTCGAGTTAATTGGACCGGAACGGTGGCGGGTCACCCCTATATGTATAAGCCGAAAGAAGTGTCGGCTGAGTTGATTTATGAGTTGAGGAAGTCGAATTACTCGAGTTCTTACTTGTTTGCTAGGAAGTTCTCGCCGGATTGTTTGAGACCCTTGCTGGGCATTGCAGATTCGGTCATTTTCAGTGATTGAGATTGTTCCTGGTAGGTAAAAGTTTTTACTTTTTGATGATTTACTTTGGTTTTTGTTCAGGGTGAGTTGACTCGGTGGTGGGGTGAGTTCGGTCAGCGAGTTGGGTTTATTAGGGATGAGTGGAGTGGTTGTGTTGGGTATTAGTTTTAGCTAATCCTGGAAAATGGGAAATAGTTACTTTTTAGTTAGTAGAAAAGGTCTGAGTCAATTTGAAATCTTATTGGATGGTTTGCTTTTTCTGCAGATTTTGAATTTTAGAATCTTGTAGGGTAGGTTTTCCAACCAGAACGGTTCTTGGAAGGAAACAAATACCAATTCTTGGCTACAATTAGCATTACCGAAAATGCCCCACCTAGAAGGTCTTTCCTTTCATGAACTTGGTATGGGCAGTCTTGTGAGATTGTCCAACAAGTTCTATACATAAATGAAAGTTTAACCATTATTTCACGGTAGATTTTGGTTGCATTTAAGTTTTGAAGATGGAATGGTTCTCTTATTTCATTGTTTACTTTTATGTGAATTCAGCATTCCTATTGTGATTTCTATTATTTGTCAATTAAGGACTTACCTTTTTCAGAAGCTTAGGATGTGTTTTAGCTTGGTCTATTCAGTTGTTCATAGCTGAAACTTGTTTAAACATTATGCTCATTTGCCTTAAGAATGTAGTTCCAACCAAGCAAGAAAGAATCCCTATTTCTGAAATCAGCCATATCCAAAAATCTGTTACCTTATGTTATGGTGAGGAACTGCTCGTAAACTTTGTAAAGAGTAAGGTCAAAGAAGATGAACCCTAATTCTCTGGTCATTTTAGTCCTATTAGCCGTTTCATGCAAAACCTATAAATAGCACATTATTTGATGTTTGCCATTGAAGTTGTTACTTGATGACCATATCTACCAGACTAGTGTTTTGAATGGGACAATAATCTTAAAAGAATGATATGTGACCAGAATATTAAATTAAACTTTTGTCCAATATGTATTGAAGGAGTAATTCATGGAAGATTGGATAAAAGTTTTTTGATGCAATTTTAGCATTAAAACAGCAGTGCATTGGGATGTGTAGGAGAGCAGGTTTTACTGTCTTAGAATGTTAAGATCATAAGAAGCTTGTAATGGGAGGTTGAGATTTAGATATCAAGCATTTCGTTAAGAAGAGTTCTTTTGGGATACATGTTACCAAGTTGGGAAGAAGTGAGCTTATGTCTATTTTGAACTTTGAGCCTTTGGTTTGTCATGACACATTGTGATTAAAGCCCTTGCTGCAGCTGGCCTCTTCTTTCCCCTTCAAATTTCAGAGTTAATACTAATGTGGCCTTTGCAATATGGGTGTTTGCTTGTACAGGTGCATTTGGCAAATTTATCAATCAAAGCTTATACATTGCTTTGTCTTTCTGCTTTTTTGGTGGATGAAGCTGCTTGGTATTTATGTGAAGTGATTGCATTGCTTACTCATGTTGATGCTTCTCCATGTCCTTGGGATGTTGATGCTTTCATATTATTTTTGCAACTGGACGAGGATATCATTCTGCGAGTGAGTTTTTGCTGCATGCGCAGGGAAGGAAATAGTGCTATAGATCAGTTGGCAAGTAAGCCAGGCAAAAAACTAGAGGAGGGGAAGGGGGAGGATTGATATGGTCCTTCATTTTCCTTTTTCTTTGGAGTTGCAAAATCTACGTAGTGGTTGATTCCTAGTTTTTAGGGTTTGTTTGAAATGTTGTGTCCTGAAAAACGCAATAAGATAAGAAGGAAAATAGAAGTGCAATATATGTGTCTAAATACAAGCATTCTTATACAGATTGTGCATGTTGTAGCCGGGGATTGACTGTGGTGCTCTGATTTCACAGGTGAACAGAGTATTTTGAGGAACCAGCTTGGAGCAGAATTTGCAAAGGGGAATATGGTTTTGAAGAGGCGTAAAGTGCCCACAACCAAAGCAAACCCCAAAAGCTCCAACCTCTTTAGAGTCTTTAGAAACACAAGGGGATCAAAAATTCGATACTAGTGGAAACAAAACAAAACAAAACCAAAAGAAAAGCGGCAAAAAAAAAGGGTGGTGCTTTTGTTAAAGTTGTAAGTTGATGGTGTAACAATAGCCAAATAGTAGCATTAGGTTTTTGTCATTTTGTTGTGTGATTTGTACATATTATGTGTGAAATACAATGAAATTGGAATCCTTGTGAACCTTTTTGAGGATGCCAGGGAAAAAGCAGTAAATAAAAAGCGGGGGAAACTTATGTCGTTATGCTTTGTTTTGCTACTAGTTTTGTTCCTTTCAAAGGACTCAAAAATGGGCATAAACTTCGCAGCCATTCCACCACCACCAAGGATAAATTGTTATAAAAACAATGTCAGAAGGCTTGTCTCTTTGTTTGATTCTGTGGCTCAATTATGGAAGAAATTTCAATGACCATGAGCTGGTTTGCCGACAATTGATGGATGTGTACATTCCTAGATTCTTTCATCACATGACTAAGACTGTGCTGGCCGTACCCCCTTTCTAACTTGCGCTTTACTTTTTCAGTTTCTTCTTTCGGTGTACAACCATAAGAACCTCTGTACACCTGTTATTTAATAATAACTACAATGTACCTAACTCCTCAAAAACTCAATTTTCGATCTCTCTTTCCTAAATTTGAATACATTAAACTTAAGTAGCCAAATAGTAGCATTAGGTTTTATATAAATTGATCAATCTTTGAGATCTGAAAACATGGAAGGTTGTATCATCGACACCGGTGGGTGATCCATCCTTGACTTGGATTACTTATCATTAATTAATAAGCTGACATCTCTCTAACTGAGTTGGGGATGGTTGTAAGTTGTAACTCACCAGTGTTGTTTCCATTTCTCACATGAAGAAAAACCAAGGGCAAATACTTGGATCCTTAGCATCTGAAAATCACCCAACAACTGTCCCTATTATACAATAACAAAAAGATAAATAAGAAAATGTACCCTAAATCTACGATGTATTGGACCCATCATCATTGCATGAAAATGAGCCCTAAGTCACAAATGGAACCCACCCACCGCCAAAATTCAATTAATTTGTGGGCCATAACTTTGATTGACCACACCTACTAGACTATACTAGTGAAACCATTTGGGAGCAAAATTGGGATTGCACTACACAAAGATCAAAAAGGCTGCAGCCTAGCGTATTATTTTTCGTATCTTTTGTTGACTAAATTATAGAGCAAACCTAACAATGATGCAACCAATTACCAAGTGTTTTTCCTTTAGCCGAACGATTCCCAAGTCTAACTGTGCTTCTTCTCGTGTTTGTTTGTTTATTTTTATGGGGTTATCTTACTGAGTCATAAGCATGTTTTTTTTTTAAAAAAAAAAACTATAATTGTAATTATTATGGTCTAAAATTGTGTGGTGGTCAAAAGTCCAAAAACAAGATTTTGAGGTAGTCTGCCTTCTTAGCCGCGTTCATGGTTTAAAATTCCTTGCCTTTGTCCTTTTATGAAAGCAAGATTATATTCCTAATGAACGGCAATCCTTTTTTAAATCAATAATAAAACTTTTATTCTTGGTCCTAATCGAAATGTATGTATATATATATATATATATATATATATATATATTAATTAGCATATGTTCTATACTAATACACCGATGTTCATGTTTTAATATATATAAAAACCCCACGCACACACCCACGAAATATTTTAATACTATGATTTCATAATTTGGTAACCTTAGAGTAACTCTTTTTAATGCTGATAGTAGAACAAAAATGTTCCTTACCGACAGGCAAATAATAGAGGAAAATAGTCAAAAACCCATGTGTTATTTTTCTTGAGATATAATGTAGGACCTTCTCTCACCCCATACTAATGTTTATGACCAAACTTTGCAATTGATTTATGCCTTTATGAATATGAATGGAGTGAGCATGTTTATGAAAAGAAACGTTTCATTGGAAGAAAGAAATAAACATTTCAGTCCTCTTCTTATGTTTGATATTGTTAATTTAGCTTCGTTATAGTAACAAAGAAATAAGCACTCATTGCCCCATATCTTCCTTCACATCTCCCCTATTTTTAACCAAAGGCTAAAGCTCAACTTAGCTAATGTTGTTGTGACACACCAAAGAGATATATGAGAACCCTTTCAAGAATACTTCTTTGTTTCTTACTTCTTGGATCACAAAGTTGAATGAGTTGTGACAATAACACTTTGACCAATTTTCATATCCCAAAGAAAGAATTGGACCATTTTGTTCAAAAGGGCGACATGGGCTGATGTCAATTGAAGTGTTCAGAGTTTAATTTGTAGGTGGGGAGAGGGGTGTCAATCTTCTAAGTCTTTTCCAAGTTGAACAGCACTTTAATTTCAAATGTCAGCATACCGCCAATGTGGGTGTATATCTTGAAATGGGTTACTTTCTGGACTGTCCATCACCATAGGCCCAACCTTCCATGTCCATTAGCTTTCATTTTACTTGAAAAAACAAACAGCCAGCTAATAAATGTAAATTGTTGCACCCAAACATTTTGGTTTGGTTCATTAATCATGCATGATTTCTTGTTTAAAAACAAACTTTCAATCCTACTTCCACTGGTTCATACGCAAATTGTAGCCATGATCCTATCTTAGGACTGTTTGTTTTTCCATTTCTTTTTCCTTTGATGGAATACAACATAGAAATGTGGAAAGCAACAAGTGGCAAACAGCTTATAGCAAGACTTAAACCACAGTCTAAGAGAGATCAACCTCTCATTTCCTGACTCTGGTCTTCGCTCTTCAGCTCCTTTACTCCAACATATTCTCAAACAAAATCAAACCTAAACCCGATAACCAGTGTCTTAAGTTGTTCTTTTAACTTACTATACCAAAAATGACCATCCTAAAGACCCAGCACCTCCTTGTCCCTCTCCTCATGCTCCTAACCTCAGCAACTTTCCCCGGCTACATCAAAGCATCGACCAACACCAACGGAGTCTACCAACCGTGTTCCGACACCAGGGTCCAAATCTCGGATGGGTTCACTTTTGGCATAGCATTTTCTTCCAGGGACTCTTTCTTGTTCAACCAGTCTCACCAACTCTCCCCCTGTGATCGCCGGCTTTCTCTTTCTTCTTTGAACTCTCAACTCGCTGTCTTTAGGCCTAAAGTCGATGAAATCTCCTTGCTTACTATCAATACTTCCAGTTTCTTCCCGGTAATGGTTTTAAACTAGTACTATATTTCTACTTTCCCAGTTTTGGACTTTGGATTTTCAGCTTTCTTTTTTGGATGTGGAATTTGTTTTAAAATCGTCACTTTTTCGGTTTTAGGTAAAGTTCTGTTCTTTAATTTACGGGATTTGTGACTTGAATCTGTAGAAAACAGGAATGCATTTCTTGGTGATATGTGTTAAGTAAGCTAGTGAAAGTTATTGGCAAATATAAATGGCTAAAGATCAAGAACTTGGGTTCCTAATTTACATGGTAGATAATCAATGCTAGGGAGCATTGAGTTTGACCAAATTAATTTGGATATTTATATTTGAAACTAACTAGTGCTTCTCGGAAGAGTGGGAGTTTGTAGTTGAAGATACAGGAGTTCACAAGGGAAAGCAAAGAAGGATATGTGATTTGTTTTTCCCATTTTTATATTTGGGCCTGAAGGGATATGTGATTTGAGATGGCACGAAGAAAGACTGATGGAATCGAAATATAATTCTCGGCACATTACAAGTGGAAATGAAATTAAACAATGTTTTTGATGCTGAATAGCTTAAGGGGCCATTTCTATCTGTTAATAAGTCCATTTATTTTAAACTTTAGAAACGGGAGTCATCCCCATTTCCCATTTGATATCAAAACTTCCTTGGTTAAAAGTTCAATATTCGTAAGATCCTACCCTTTTCTTCTACAAGCAGCTGGTGCGTATTGGGCAGTTGGTGGGAACTTTGGGGTGCAACTTTTCTGTCAAAAATTATATCTGTGAGGAACTGAACATATCAGCCGTGTTTGGATGAATGAAAGAAGCTGTTTCAATTGTTGTTATGGCCTCTCTGATCTGTCATGTTTCCATAGACATTCAATTGTTGGTGTGTTTTTACCATCTTGTATCTGCATTCTTGTATCCTTGTTTATGCAACTACAGTAAGAACATGAAGGTGATGCACTGTAATAATCCATCAATTCTAAATACATTTGAACTTCCCAGGATTCTTATGGTGGGTATATGGTGGCATTCGCTGGTCGAAAATATGCTGCCAGGTCCATCCCTGCATTTGTTGCAAACACTACATACACTGTAACTAGTTTTACACTGGTAAGTACACATATTTCTGGGTCTTGTTCTTTAATTAATGCTTCTTAATTGTTTACTGAGCAAAACAATTCTGTCCAAGTAGGTTCTTGAGTTTAAGAAGGGTAGGCTACAGAACTTATTCTGGAAGAGAGATGGATGTGCTTCATGTGCAGGCAATTCCAATTTTGTTTGCCTCAACAAACAAGACTGTGGTATCAAAACATCAGACTGCAAAAACCGAGGGGGTTCTGTAGATTGCAGCCTTGGGATACAGCTAGCTTTTTCTGGCACAGACAAGCATCTTGCTGTTCTAAACTCATGGTATGAAGTGGAAAATCTTAGGCAGTATTCCCTCTACCGTCTGTATTCGAATCTTCGGGATTCGCTTACCAGCCAATACAACAATTTCTTTTAACTACTTATGACACGCAGATGGTGGTGTATTATCTTCATGTGGTGATGTTTTAAGTTGTTAGTGTCTTAGCTGCCTTCACCCTCACCATTAACTTTTCCCCAATGGATTATTTTGCTGATCTAACCATTTTAGTGAAAGCAATTGGATGACCTCCATCTTTGTTAGTTTGCTCCTGCATGTTTTTAAGTTAAATGGAGTGTGATATTGATTCTATCATGTACATAGATAACGAGGCCATCCCCTGGGCGATTATTTGTAGCTTTTCTGTTTTGATGGTCTAGTTCATTTTTGAAGTCCAATGCCAGTTTGATTGATTTTAATCTCACTCCGCTCTCTCAGAATTGCAAATTCTTGGCTGGTTTTTGCTGAACTCAAGGTTCTCTGTTGCTTAATTTAAAGACATAGTTCTTGTCACTCTATTGTCTATACATTTAGTCATTTGAGCCAAGTATACTTAAATGAATGAGCTGAATGATGTAAATAGAGGCTTAAAATTCAGGAAAACTTTGCTGCAACTTTCTGATGGTTGATAGACAGAAGGCAGACTGGTTCACTAACCATAAGTTATTCCTAAAGCTTTGAGAACCAAAAGGCTAAAACTTTGGTTGGCCGCAAATGACATTCAGTTGTGACTAGTCATGGTTATGGAAGTCTCAGGGTGTCTTCATTGTAGGCAAGATGCAGCAGAACTCAAACTAAATAGTAGTCTTTCTTTGCTCTTTTTGTAAAGGTATTCGGGGAGGGATTGGCTCTATGCTAAGTTGTAACTACAACAATCAAGCTTAACAGAGCTGAAGAGACATCGAAGTATTCCTTGAAAGAATGAATCTTACATTGAACGATACAGACACGCGCACGCCTTGCACCCAATCTCCCCTGTTAGTGGTTCGTAATTAAAATCTGTAGCGTAACATCATCTCCTCTTCCAGTCAAAATGCCCTATAGAATCCCAAAACTAAGCTTTTAGAGCAGCTCAGCAGTTTCTGGTAGCTTTAAAAGTTTTGCTTAGTTGATAACTTTTGCTTTTGTTTTTTTATTATTTTTTGTTTTTTGCTTTTTAGTTTTAATTAAAAAATAAAATATAAATGATAAAAATATCAATAAACAGAACCTAACTAATTTGGATCAAATGACCTCCACTAATGTCAACAAGAGAGCAAGCTTGTTGTGTTGAAACCAGCTTCTTTTTCTTGGTCTGAAAATTGACCAACCTCTACTAGAATAAGTATTTGTACCGAAAAATTTTCAACGTCTGAAGCCTCTGCTCCCCTTGTTTCCACCATCTAAACCCTCTACTTTAAGAATGAATGACATTATTAATTGCTCCTAAAGAAATTGCAAGACATGTCTCTACTCTATAATTTTGCAAGTACAATGCTTGCAAATGGGAAAGGGGAAAAACCTTGGTTACATGCAGCTCCAAGTATATTCATGAAATGGCAATCTCATTGCTGATTGAAGACAATCAATATGCCGGACTCTGCGCCACCCACAACCCTTTAGACGTCAGAGGCCACCCAATACCACCCTCAGTCCCTCACCCAACCCTTTCCCATTCTTTCCCCCATTTTCTCCCTTAAATTGATCTTTTTCCATAACAATGAAATGGGAAGATCAAGAATTTGGCGGCGAGCATGCTTAAGCCATTCAAGAAGCAAGGTTTGTGATGCCAAAGTATAGTGTCTTCTGATGAAAGGCATTGATGGCATAATCAACCTGGAAATGACCAATTGGAGACTTGAAGCGAAGACCATATCCAAGTCCAACTCCAGATCCTGGTTTGCCCTGTCTCAATGCTGGATTTCCTGAAACTCAAAAATTAAACCGGTCATGAGAAGATGAATTCTTGAAGGGCAGTTTTGCTTCAATACCTAGTGAATTAGTGATATGGGTTCCATAGTATAAAGTACTATAAAAAGATGATGTAAAAACTCTCATTCTTGTGTACAAGAAGTACAACTAATCAATTCCTTTCTTGGATATCTTCCATTGCATGGCACTTTCAAGGCTGTATACACTTAAATATTTTTGTAAAAAAAATATACTGGCAACGGTATTGTTACTTGTTCCCGCAATCACAAGAAGTTTAAGGAGAGTAGCAATTAAAGGATACAAGCTAAGTTAATGCATCTAAGGCATGCCAGAAGCAATTGGATGCTACAGGATAATTGTTTATGATGCAGGTTTCAAAGTACCAGCCAAAAGGAAGGATGGAGAAATAAAAGACTGGGATGCTTTAGCCACAAGGTAAAATATTCAAAATCTGATACATCAATACCAGAACCTGACATCTAAAATTAACTACCATCCTAAAATTACAGAATAAACCATTATTCAAGTGAAGAAGATACTGCAGGCACCTGGCCCAGCTTCCTGGTAGGAATTTCTGGCTGGGCACAGTTGTATGATAAAAACTAAAAAGAAGCAGATGTTCATAAGTGTAGAAAGCAAAATCATGCTGTTTTAAACTTGCGATACACAATGCAACTAGTTGAGAATTAACAAAAGGTCAGAAACAAGGTTTAGTGAAAACTAGAAGCATAAGATTTGGTTATCATTAAGATACAACTTTGTCAGCAAATTTTAAGGATCATAAGCAAGTAGATGAATGAGACTCACCAGGTACAAGCCGACCAGAGCCCAAATCAGTTCCACAGTCCAGGAAAAGAGAGCCTTCCAACATCTTGCTCTGAATGGAGCAAAAAATAATCTAGGGTCATGTCATACTTCTAGTTCATTACATCTATAGAATAAGTCAGACACATGCAATGCCAATCAAAATTTTCATTCACAAATTTTTAAATAGAATGAACAAAATTAAGTCCAGAACTAAACAACACTTTGAGACTTTTTGGAGCCTTGATAAATATAATCTAATTCAAATTAAAGTACTTCCATATTATTTATATATAAACCATTAAGTACGTCAACTTAAGCATGTATAGGACTTTAATGAAAATTGTGTTTTTCTATGTTTTACTTTAATTTAATGACAAGCTCATTATTCCACATTTTAAGATAAAAGTCAGGTTATGTAAGAGATTAAAATTCCAGGAATGATAGTCAGTGTAACTGGTGACTGCATGTATTTTGTTATTCAGTTTTTGATTTGGTTTGGTTTCCAAGAAACAAAATAAATATTTAGTCCAGTTTAAGCATAAAAATATAAAAAATCTGTCCAGTTTTAAACCAACCCAATCTTTTTAATCATACAAACCGAACATAGAAAAACTGCCTGCTACATGTGTGCTCAAGCATGGACACAAACATAGAAGGAGAAAGCACACCCCAAAATAATTTACATTAAACCATCAATCTGACATAAATGAACTCTCTTGATCCAACAGCTATCTTGTGAAGTTAAGAAATTTCAAATGCTACATGTAGCACTGTTGCAGTTAAACATACCCATTAAACAGCTACCAGAGATAATAGATGTAAATACCAAATACATTCTTAGAACAAATGCCCTCTATATAATAATAAAGCAATTACATACCAAAGGAAATGTCAGTTCACTATTAGCAACCAAACATGATCTTCCAGATCCAACAGCACCTTCACCATACCCTCGCACACTACCAAGACCACCAATTGCAAAAGCTTGATAAGGAGCCATATCTCCTACAATTGAACCACCTGTCAGGCTGTCAGAGGAAAAAGTAAGAGTGAAGCAAATTTAAAAATGATATAACACCTGATCTAGTTATCTACTCTAGAGCATGATTCATGTACTCCTCAAAGTCAAGATAGAAATTCCTATAATTTTTCTAATTTCAAATCAATGCTTTCTATTTAATACATGTCAGCTTCTTTTCTTCTCTGTAGTATTATTATCTCTAGTTCTGATATATTGCAAAACAAACCTCTCTTAAAGCATCTCTTATGCTTCCAATCACAGCGGATTACAAACTTACAAACTATTCACATATTTCTTGCTTCATACCTTCATGTTACCAATTTCTGCTTACTGTTAGCCACCCTTAAATAATCAAGTTTATCACCTCTATGAACCACCGGAGGGGGGGAGAAAGGGAAAAGAAAAAGGAAAAAAAGCTACAGCATAACTTGCCTTGTCAAGAGAAAGGCTGGTCCAAGTTTGATGCCCTTCGTTGCAACACATTTGAAACGGTTGAAGATTAACCACTTGGATAGAACTGGAATCCCTTGTTCTATTTGCATAGTAAACTGAAATGAAAAGAAACATCCGGTTAGTGCCCTTATTCAAGACATATGCATGTAAATTTCACTTAGCATGTTGCAGTAAAAATGAATAGATTACACGAGAAAAACTGCGATCATTTGCCTTTGCATATTGTGATTCTTGCTTCAAGACTACCATACTGTCATGGGCATTGCCACTGCACAAGAATTAAATTATGGTCAACAATCAGTTATACATATTGTTTGGAATTTAAAAAGAATACAGGATCTTTACCTGCAAGTGACAGGAAATCCATCAAGGTCCCTGGTAATGGAGCGTCCGTCATCATTCAACAGGCGAACATTCTGTGAGGTGCACATTCAATAACAGTTACATTCCCTTCCAAGAAACTGATTGTAAGGTACTAATGACTATGAATGTAACAAGCTTTGACCTAACCTCAAATTTGATACTAGTTGTGCTGCTCCATTTGGAACTTGCGGGTTCGTTTAGATCCAATCCAACTGATAATCGAGACAAATTCACACCTCCACTCCCTGAACGAGAGAAATTGTCCACAGGTATACCATGGACTCCAATCTCAGGTGAAAGTGAGTGCTGTGCCAAATGATTATAAATAAGAACTAGATCCACATTCCAACTTTACAATTGGGTTTTGCTAAATAAAATTAACAGCAACCTAACTATGATGTAAACTGTACCCTTTATTTCTTTCCCATCCACAAAAGGCCATGATAATAACAACTAAATCACAATATTGATGACATACCTGCATGACGAAACATTGTTGAGCAACCCATTGAGGTCGAGGCCTCCGATAAGCTACCAAGATATTCGAATCATATAACCCCTTATCCCACGATACATCAAGCTTCTCACTCCCACCAAATAAATTTGGGTGTTTGATGCAAAGACTGCAACAAAAACATTGAAACAGGTGTTGGACTAATCCCCGAAATCTAAATTCAATTGCCACCCAACTCAAGAAACCAAGGAAACTATCTATCCAACTCCAAATACTTTTGGTGCACCAATTTGCTATACCAGAAGATGTATAGAGAAAATAACAAAATCATACCAACAAATATTTAAGTCAGTATCTAAAACTCAGAAATTCTAATCATATATCCTTTACCCGCAATTCGTCACCAACCAAAGATGGCATCTTTAATAGAAAGAGAAAACCTAGTACCAAATTATCAAAATAAAAAAAGAGTGGAGAAGAAACTAAACTGAAACTACCTGCCGATTACTTGGGAAAGAGGACTGCCAGGGTTCCTGTTAGATAAAGAAAGTGAAAACAAGTTAAATAATTACTGAAACCCATTAACTAAAATCCCATTAAGAAGAAAAATAAAGGGTGAAAGAGCAATGAAAAATTAAAGCATGAAGTAAGAACCTCAAAGAAGGAAGCATCATAGAAGCACAAAGCTTGTGGGTGAAATCGACATTAACATCAATCTTGGCTGTTCATTACAAATTAAAAGATTGGAAAGCATTATCATTTCCATTAAGAATAAAGCAACAAATGTGGCAGCCACTGTAACCAGAAAAAAAAATAGAACAAAAAATAAAACAAAAGACTGACCTTTGCCTGCATGGATGCTCTTCTGAGCCCCCATAGAGTTGGAGAAGAAAAAACCATTAAGCAAACGAAATGGGTTGGATAAATGGGTGAGTTGGTCAGTTAGACAAAGATTGCATTTTGCACGAAATGACAATTATGCAAAACAGCCAAGACAGAAAAGAAGCGCCTTGTGTTTTGAGTGATGTTTTTCTTTGGTGAAGGGGAAGGAAGCTCAACCCAACCCAACCCAACCCAAGTTTCAAGTTTGTTATCTCCTTTGCTTCTTCTTTGGTCTTACTTGCACGTGGGCCACTGTTTATCTTCTTTTTTTTTCCCCTTTTATCCATAGCTTTTTCCCTTGGGGCTTTTTTTTTCTTCCATTTTTACTACAAAATTCCAATAAAATAGCCATGACTGACCTGGATTACTTTCAATAAGCTACTACCCTACAGGGAGTAGTAAATGTAATCCAATTATTATATTTGTGCCCTTGGAACCAATCTCTAAGTTAATACCAACAAAAAAAGGGGTAAGATTTAGGTAAAATTTTCCAAGTCAAATGAGTGAGGTTTTTTTATTAAGTTCCATTAAAGAAAATTAAATTTAAAAATCCGAATCAATAAATTAAAAAAATTTATTACAAAAATAAAACATATAAAATTTCAATTTTAATAGGCTTGGCAAGAAATTAGAGACTTGAAATTCTCATCAACTGATTACCTTTATAGACAAGTAGCAATTAGACTAATTTAACTTCTGAAGTGATCTACAACAAAGTAATGGAAGTAACAACATTGTAATTTACACAATTTCTGTAATGCATGCCAATGTGGCGTCAATGGAAGAGCTACCAATTGTCACTTATGCAAAGATGGTTTGCTTCCATTCTCAACTCCAATGAACAATTTCATGAACAAAAAAAATGACAATGATACTAGTAAAGCAAAGAGGTCAATGTGGCTTTCAATATCCACATGATGAATTTGATATTAAGTATCCCTGGTCAAATTGTACCTATATAGCCATGTCCAAATCCAGGTAAACCAACAAGTAAATGGAAAACACAAAACAGAAACAAATTAATCCCTAAGCAGTAAGTAAGAAACTCAAACTTGTATTAACCTATCTCTCTGTGTTTGGATTGCTAGCCAATCCAGGCTCATGATCTCTCCTTCCTTTCTATGGCTTCTGTGCTCCCTCCTGCAAAGAATCCCTATTTCTCAGCTTTGTGTTTATATAAATTTGAGTTCTGACTTCACCCAATCGATGTTCCGTTGGAACTCTCTGAGTTCCTCTTCAGATTCCGAAAGCAGCTTTTCAAATAAAGCAGATTCACCTTCCTTTATCAATCGAGTATAGGACAGACCTGCAGTAACCAGCACTGACCTCAGAAGCAAGATTATTTTATGAGCTTGATCCATCCTATCATTTAATTTCAATTTTTCATATAATCTTTCCTTGTCACTTCCAAATACTGTTGCCATTCTTATCACCAGTCCATCTAGCTTTAACCCTTCGGGATTTTCCATCATGTAAATGATCTTATAGACTGAAATGGGTACCGTCCCAAAGTAGATTTCCATCATATGTTTCAGCTTAGACTTCAAGTCTTGGAAAATGGTCTCTTCTTCTTCATTACCTGAAAACATATAGTAAATTTCATACATGAGGTCAACAAAGACAGATTCAATGTGGAAAATCCAATTCCTTATCACTCTCAGAAATCTTATTCTCATATTCACAGTCACAAGATCTAAACCATCTTCAGAATCTGAAGCTTTTGGAGAAACATTCAGATCAAGTTCCTCCTTTATGTATATTTTCTTCTTCAACTCCTCAAAGGTTTGTTTCAGTTTCTTGACTCTAAGCCATTTCAACTCCCCTGCATCTTTTTCTTGCAATTCACCATCGTCATCAAGCACTATTTGACTCTCATCTTCAAAAAATAGACACTCACTTTTGAGCAGCCTCCTATGCCCTAGAGATGTGTCTATCTCCATTGCTACATCCCATGGAAACCCATACAATTGAATAGCAACATCATACAAGCTAAATTCTCCACTTTCTAATTTTCTCTTTAGCCCTTCACTCGTCTCTTGTCCATCTTCTTCAGTAAAAGCAAGATTTCCAAGATCCTTGGTTTTATTCTCTTTAGAACTCTCTTCAATCCCACTACATTTTGGCACTATATTGTAATCCGTCATCAACTCAATGACCCTCTCATTCAATTCATCCCCTCTTTTCTTTAACTCTTCAAGACCTTCAGCTAAACTTACCAACTCATTTTCTCCTTTGGTTCCAATCACTCTAAGAACCTCATCTTGCAACTGAGAAAGATCAAAGTTGTGACTATTACCATCACCGGTTTGATAGAATGGTGTCAGCAACTGATAAAAATCCTCCTTTAAATCTTCTTGATTTGCCTTGAGTTCTGCTGCTGCCTCTGCCAAGATATTAAGCACTTTGGTACTCCTGTCTTGGCTTACTTGGTCAAGATATTGGTCAGTCATGGAGAGAGTTTGATTGAGTTGGTTAACTATTTGGCGAATGTCTTTGTCTTCGGTAGCCATTGATGATCAAAGAAAAAAGAAATGAGATCAACAATAACAAGAAAGAAATCTTGGCATAACGAGAGGGAGATAAGAGGATAGAGTTTTGGCGCGCAAATGTGGGTTGGGGGTTAGGTAATTCAGTTAGATATAGGGAAGTTATTGGATTCTATCATGTGAAGGTAATGTTTAATTAGATAACAGTGAAGGTTCTTGAATTTCTTTTGTCAATAATTTGATATTCTATTTAGATAAAAAAAATATTTATTCGGTATTTCAATTTTATTAATTAATTAAAATTAAAATTTAGAATTTATAATAAAAGATGTCTTTGAATTACAATTTAGAAATATATTAAATGATATTGTGTTTTTTTTTGTCAATTCAAAGCTTCACACACATTCATATTTTTATATATACTACATATAAATACTTCTTTGATCTATTTTTTAAATAATTATTATATGTTCAAATGATAATCAAGTTCTTTTTTTTTTTATCTAATTGGACCTTCTTAGTGTTTTTCACGTAAAGCTGTTCTAAAAGTGCTATTAAGAGAAGCTAAGATAATGTTAAGCAAATTTAATGTATAAATATTGTAAGAAGTAAAAGATTGTTTGATAATATTTTAACCTAATTTTAATAATTAAAGATTAAAACTAAGCCAAATCATATGCTTTAAAATGGAAAAAAATAAAATAAAATATTTTTGAATAATTGAATATAAACATAAAATCAAGATAAAATGTTAAACAAAATTAAAAAGAAAGAGTTGAATTTAAAAAAATTTCTTTATAATAATATTATGAATTATTAGTGATTGATATGGTCGGTCAAACAGTGGCTGATGTAAGTAAGACTTTGGTTGGATGACGCTAATGACAATGTCTTTAAGTAGGCGGTCTAGGCTGGGCCGCTCGGCCCTTTAACAAATGAAATTTAAAGACCGGAAAAAGAAAATAGAAAGGAAAAACGTAAACGCCATTTGCTCTTTTCTTGCTTTTTCTCAGCTCCACAGCCTCCAACATAAAAGCAACACAAATCAAACCCTCCCCATTCACCGCCAATTGAAAACCCAACTCAACCTTCTCAAGTCTTCTTTTTTTTTTTTTCTCTGGGCATTGGTTTATCTGAATTTGAATAAAAAGAGATGGGGAAGAATGAGAAGACAGGCCTAGGGAGAGCCCTCATGAAGCATCATAATTCAATGATACAACAATCCAAAGAGAAAGGGAGGTTTTATAAGAGCCAGCATAAGAAGGTTTTGGAATCTGTGACAGAAGTTAGCGACATCGATGCCGTCATCGAGCAGGCTGAGGAAGCTGACCAACTCTTCTCTATCCAGCACCCCACCCCTAACCTCCTTATAAATTTGTAAGCTTTAGATTAGTCTTTTATTATTATTATTTGGTTTAATGGTAGTTGTAAAAGATGACCCTGTTTTATTAAGTTGGTGAAAGTTTGGATTTTTTATGTGGAGATTGTCTGTTAGGGTAATTGGTTGATTTTGTTTTTGAGTTTCATTTGTTTCTCATTGGGCCGAATTTTTTTTTTTTTCTGATGTTGGTTAGTCTTACAGCTTGGACTTTGATTGTAATAGTATTTTTAGTGAGATGCATGCCTAATGGTATGTATGATGCAAGGATTTTCAGATTTGACTTTGTTGTTAATTTCTTTAGCTAAGGTTACCAGAATAATGTGCTTTTAATCAGAAGCTATATTACTTTGTCTTTGAAGAGTTCATTGAGTCCCATTAGTCCTCCTCCCTCCCTTTGTAATAAAAGGATTAAACTTGATGTGTAGGCATAAGGAGATGGTTGCAGATAAGTGCCCAACTCATTCTTAAGTTGAATGTGTTGATATTAGTTCTTTCTCATATCTTTAGTTTGCCACTTTTTTCTTTTTAGAGCTTTTTGTTTATAGTGAGTGATTCTTGATCCTTTTTTCTTTATGATTTATAGATTCAAGCCTATACAACTAATCTTTAATTTTTGATATCAGTGGTTTATCTGATGCCTGTTGTTTGTGACTAGGGACACAAGCTCAAGCACCAGTGGTATGACACCTGAAGAAATGAGAGAGCAACAGAAGAAAGAGGAGGCACTGCATGCTAGTAGTCTCCGAGTTCCACGCAGGCATGTCTTATTGTTTTACCAAAAACCAAGTTTCATATGTATGATTAGAATCTGAAGATTTTTTCTATTCATATAGGCCATCATGGAATTCTGGAATGTCTGTTGAAGAGCTAGATGCCAACGAGAAACAAGCTTTCTTAGTTTGGCGCCGGAGCTTGGCAAGGTTAGGCTATAACTTATTTGAACATTTTCTTCTTTTGAATCACTTAAAAGAGGTCAATGACAAATTATGTAATCAAGACTGTCAAAAGTAGTATTTAATTGCACAAGGATGGCTTGATCAATATTGTCAAGGATACATCCTGGGTTACATCCAAATTAAGCCTTCAACCAGGTCCAGAAAAAGTAAAGAGCAACTTTACCAGCTATAACAAACCTAGAAAAAACTTGAAATCAATTTGTCTCCATCTCTAAATGATTTGATGTTGTATATGTAAAGTTAGTAATTACAGGTATTGTTCAAAACTGGCTTAAAGGTCCTTGCCCCTCTACCTGTTTTGTTGTTGATAGCGTGCAAGTCATGTCTGAAGAGAAGCATTCTTTGA